AATACAATCAGCTAGTCCATAGTACTTCAGCTTAAGATCAAATTTATTGAGTAACTAATGAGTCAAAAGGATATAATTATGTGTAATCAGTGTTTGTGCGATCAGTTCCACCATGTTCTTGTTTGAATGGCTTGAAAAGTTGCTAAAAGTTGATATCAAAATCAGCAATAACACATTTCATGATCATAACTTTTATCAACTTTTCAATCACATATTTCATTAACTTTTATCGAAATGCTCAATGGATGCGTCCAATTAGATCCTGAGGCTATGATTGTGTGAATTTCATAATTCATAAACTTTAACAGATTTTTATATTTAATAAAATCTCAACATGAGTATGACCTATTGATTGTGTGTTTTGTAATGTAAGTGATCAAATAATGTTTAATAGTGACTATTTGTGACTAGATTTGTGTAAATTATTATTGTTTGTAATCATGTCTGTATAAACTGTTATTGTTTGTCACCAAACTTGGGTTATCTATGACTAATTGTAATTAAATTTATCTTTGATGTGACCTTCTGGGACCAGGTCAATCTAAACTGTGATTGTATGTGACCAAGTAAATGTTAATTTGATCACACAATCACAATTAAGCATCAAATACGGATTTTTTAACAAGCTCAAACATCAAGCATCAAATACGGTATTAAATCAATTAATCAAATGCAGACGGGCGAGGGGCGACGGCAAACCGCAGTATGAACAAAAAAATAAACTTCTCAAGCAGAATCGCAGATTATACCTGACTTTTCTCAGTTTCTGCACAACGAGGAGTCGAGGACGACACTCAACAAAGCCTGAAGTGGAGGAGAACAGAGGCAGTCACGCAGATGTGACTGGTTAGAGAGATGGACGACGGGGGAGTCACGGGACAAGGAGAACAGTCAACAGAGGTAGTGGCGACTCAGGCGAGAGAGACGAAAATGTCATGAAGTGAAGGGGCGACTTAAGGCGAGAACTGAAGACCTGGTGTAGTGATGTTCTAGTGTTTTTGGATTGAGCTGGGTAGATGAAGTTGGGTCGTTTAGCTTTAGTATATTAGTTAAAAACAAAAAAATGAGCTCAGAAGTTCAGGGTGGGCCTGTGACCACCCTGAGCCTTATTGGGCGCCGTCTTGCTCGTATGCACAACTTTTGTCCACACTTTTGGCCTTTCACCTTGCCATTGTAGTGCTTAGCTT